CCTTCGCCCGCACGAGAGACTTCTATGCGGAATAACGGCTCTGTTATGAAAGAAAGCGGCAGACAGACTAATTTGACCGGTATTCCCTAATGAGTGGCTTTAGGAGATTAGGGTCCCCCCTTATATTCTCCCACCCATCTGCGGGGGGTTTCCGTATCTGTCTCCGCGGGGATATCCAGATCGTAAGACATTATTGCCTTCGCGCTACTGGAGTATAGTTCCAGCATTTCCGGCGAGTGCGCGAGCCCCCCTTTCCCCCTTGCACAATATTCGCGAAGTTGCTCCCGAATCAAAGTGTGAATGTCCCTTAGAAGTGCCGCACGCTCGTTTTGATCGGGAGCGGGGTGGGCAACTTCCGCCGGTGCTGGCGCCTGCGGCAGCGCCTCGTGAGTTGCAGTATGTTGTGGATCTGCCGCCTGCGGCAGCGCCTCGTTATCCACGTTAAAAACGTGATGAATGAATTCAAGGAGAGCGGGTCTCCCCGCATGCGGCTCACGCCATTCGAGGTGGCCCAGCCCAGCATTCATTCGCAAATCCTGTAGTGAAATTGAGACTGCCCGACCTCGGAAGTTAATTCGCGTGTAGGCAGCGCTGTCTGTCGTACCGTTGACTCTATCTATTCATTGAATTTACTTTTTTACATTTTTTATATAGGCTCGCTCCCTCTTTTTCCAAGAATTCATGCACTTCCCTTTACTTCATAGGGCCTTCTCTAATAGGGGAAAAGCCTTCCATTTCCGTCAAATGACCCGGCCTCCCCTGGCTCTTCCACCGTCCCGGCTCCCTTTCCTCCCTATGCTATGCTCCCCCGGCGCAGGCCTACCACGCCTCGCGCCTGCGGCGTTTTCACCAGACGGTCTTTGCCAGTAGTGCCATCCTCCCCGCTGGCTGTATGGGCGGGTTGTCCCTCGCTGCTGCGTTCTGTTAGGCTATGGATTACAGGAACAAATGTAGTTGAATGAGACAGCAGGCGGGTTACACGTTCCACTGCGCCGAGATGTGAGGTGCAGGTGGTGATGATCACCCCGGGGTATGCGCTAGCGCCCTTGACAGGCACTCCAGGACCCGCCAACGCTCGTGAAAACCCGGGTCGGTCGGTCCTCCATTCATCCGACCGGAGGTGTGGATAACGAGGCCACCTTCACAACCTTCTCCCTTCTGTCCCTATGTTGTAGTAAGGTAGGGCGGTTCGCTTGAGTTGCTCAACCGCCCCTTAGCCCGGTGCTCATGACGCGCTACGGAATCTCCACCGTGCCGGGGGACCAAGCAGGGCATAGCTAGCGGCATAGGAGCCGACTCGGCGTCAGCGGCTTCGTGCCGCACTGGAGTGATCCAATATGTGGTTCCGCACGTTCCACCACTTCTCCGTTCATTTCCAATACTGATCGTGAAACACCATGAGCAGCAGGATGTTGAGGTCCGGAATTCAAAGTGAAATTTTTGATTTGCCCGTTCCTAGTCGTCATGGGAAAGAAAGGCAGAAATAAGAAAGAGATTATTCCCTGAGAGCTTGTCCAGTACCACCAGTACCAGAAATGCATCTCCTTCGCCCGCACGAGAGACTTCTATGCGGAATAACGGCTCTGTTATGAAAGAAAGCGGCAGACAGACTAATTTGACCGGTATTCCCTAATGAGTGGCTTTAGGAGATTAGGGTCCCCCCTTATATTCTCCCACCCATCTGCGGGGGGTTTCCGTATCTGTCTCCGCGGGGATATCCAGATCGTAAGACATTATTGCCTTCGCGCTACTGGAGTATAGTTCCAGCATTTCCGGCGAGTGCGCGAGCCCCCCTTTCCCCCTTGCACAATATTCGCGAAGTTGCTCCCGAATCAAAGTGTGAATGTCCCTTAGAAGTGCCGCACGCTCGTTTTGATCGGGAGCGGGGTGGGCAACTTCCGCCGGTGCTGGCGCCTGCGGCAGCGCCTCGTGAGTTGCAGTATGTTGTGGATCTGCCGCCTGCGGCAGCGCCTCGTTATCCACGTTAAAAACGTGATGAATGAATTCAAGGAGATCCGTTCTATCTCGTAATCATTCTCATTCTATTTTGAGCATACCGCTCCTACTCCTTCTCCCATCGTCGTCGGTCCTTTTGACATAACATTCTCGGCCGCCTCCGGTCCGGTAGGAAAGAAACCAGTAGCCAATGACTAGCCCCGCTATGGAGCTACGTGTATACCGCCACGTCGAGACTCTCTTTCGAAAGTGAGATCACCGCCGGCTTGTTGAAGAGGGAAAGATCACTCCTAAATGCAGCCGTGATCTTATATACGATACCATCAGACGCGCCTCTCGCAGTCAAAACTCCCCCCGCCAGTAGTGGGCCCAGCCGGGCCGGAAGCCTCGTTTCCTTCAACTAACTCAAGCGATTCGGTCAGTAGGAAAGTCATCTCACTGAACATTGGATTATATACAAAACCTCGTGAAAAAAAAAACAACGCAAAATCGAAAGTCCAATATAGATATACAACGCCCCTTACGAACAAGAAAATCAAGTGGCCTTTGTTGAAGGCTTCTAGAGTGAGGAAAGGTTCTTAGCCACCGGTGACCGGCTTTCAAAAAAGCACCTTTGGGCGGAGGTTTCTCGATAAACTATCTTACTTGAATGAAGAAAGACAGAACTCTTCTTTATATAAAAAATTTGCAGTCCAGTCCTTTGCTTTGTACCAGAAGAGTGCGGCAAGGAGGAGATACTAAGCAATCAAAGGGATGCAAGCAAGGAATTCGGCCTATTGGATTAAAGCAAGGAAGCAAGAAAAGAGATAAGCGTTAGAAGGAGGTAGGAAGCTCTTGCTATGCCGCACTCTCATACTTTTGAGTAAGGAATTCCCTGCAAGGCGGTTAACGGCTGTCGGATAGGGCATCGGGAAGAACATATGGAAAAGAGAACCTGCGAGTACTATTCAGTTTGGATGTGCCCCCCTGAAATTGTTAGATATTTGCCTTTATGACTCGTCTTCTGGGGGGATACTAAGCCTGGAATAAGTTTCGATCTATGGCAATTTCTTTGTAGTGGCCAGTTAAAGCTATCAGATATAGGAGAGACTACCTACTTCAAGTTCAAGGCAGGCTAGCTCAGTACACGATTCCCTTCCTTTAATGTCCAGTTCCAGTAGTTGCCTATTCATAAGCAGTGCTAAGATAATCCCCTCCATTTTGAGTGTTTTTTTAAGCCCGTTGGAGTCATCTAGTCAAAGTCTGCAATAGGAAACCCCTGCATTCGATCCAGTTTGAGTTCTCATTGGAGTGGAGTCTCTTACCAGGCCAGTTTTAAGCCCTTATAGTTACCTTCCTTCTGTCAGCGATCTATTTTGGGTGGTAGTTCCAGCCGAGGGAAGAGGTAAATCGGAGCCATTAGGAGAGCCTTACTTTAAAGCTAGTGAGTTGGAAAGCAGTCCTTTTTATAGCCCTTCGCTTCCTAACGAGTGTACCGAACGTAAGGGTCCAAACCAAACAAGCGGGTGGAGGACTTCTTATTTTTTTCTAGCCTATATTTCATGCAGCCATAGCCGCCTTACTGGGGTTTGAGTTGCAGTTCCCTCCTACCCATTTCCAGCCATTGGCCATCCAGTTGGAGTAGATAGCCCCAGGAGAAGTATAAGTCCCTCACCGAGTAGAAGTGTTTTTAGCCCCCGGATTGGAGGAGTATTTCCATTTAAAGCAGGAATTTTAAAGCCAGCCAGTTTCATTGGTAAGTGCTTCCATACAATCCTAAAAAAAAGTCCTGCTACCTGCGAACCATTGCCAGTTACCGGTGGCCCATACGAGGTTTCCAGGCGAGCTTCTCTTTTAGCTAGTTCCCTGCCAGAAAGCAGTTCTCTTACGCAAGCCAGGAAAGCAAGTCTTCGTCTTTCTTAAAGCCTGTGTTAGTCGTGCTTCCATTCGATATCCATATCCATCCGAGTTTCGAAGAATGCTTTTCTTGATAGTACTAAGGGCTATACATATAGTGGAAGTGGTAAGTTTATCCAATTACAGTATGAGTTGCCCTCTATCCCGTGGGACTTCTGTTACATCCCGTGAGACTTTCCTTCCAGCGATTGAGCCTTCCCTGTAATCCAGCTCATTCAATCAAGTTCCACCAAGCAAGCTAAGGGCAAGGGTAGGTGTAACGGTATTTTGTTTACCACCCAGTAAATTTCTTTCTGTCTCTGGTAGGGCTCTAGCTAACAGATGGATATCTTTACATGGGGTTTGAGTTGCTGGCGCCTTACATGTCGTTGGAAGTTGCCTGCCAGCCCGACCTGTTGGCCATACCATAGTGTGAGTACCAAAAGCTCTAGTATCTCCCAAGTCTGCAGTCTTTTCCAAGCCAAGGCAAAGATCCAGAGCTGGGGCAGGCTAGGACTATTCTCTTATTTGAGTTGCTTTCGATGGGGAAAGAAGGAAAGCCAGCTAGATAAAGGGCTAGAGCAGGCCAGGGTAAAGGCCCTAATCTGATATTTCATTTGTTAATGTTAAGTTTCTCATTTTAGAGTGCTTCTAAGATAATATCTATAGGTCTATCATCTTCTCCTAATAGCCGCCTAGTTCCAATAATAGTAGGGCTAACTAGAGATCTTTCCTTGGCCAGATAGAGATAGATAGGAATATCACAGTAATACTTTCCTTTAATAACATGCTAACGAGCGTAATAGCTAAAGAAGGGCATAAGGAAGAAGTTTCATACCGAGCATACGAGGCATACCTGTAAGACCTTGGCTAAGAGGCCTAACGTGTCTAACGGTCTAAACGAGCTATACGGTCCATTAACGTTGCTTAATTGGCCTTAGCGTTTCGCACTAAGAAACCAAGCTCTCCATTAACGTTGCTTAATTGGCCTTAGCGTTTCGCACTAAGTAAGCAAGCTACCTTATTTATGTGCTCTAGTCGAACAAGCAAGCCAGCCTAGCAGAGTCAGCCTTCCCTCTTCTCTTCACTGGCTCTGATCTCATCAGACTCGTATCCAGCCTCTCTTTCCTCGGTCTCGGTGCTCGGTCCAGGAGAAGAGAAAGACTCGGATCCAGGTAGGGAAAAATACCGGTATCCTAGCTCCATTTCAAGCCTAAGCCCTCCCTCCGCTTCTCGATCCCCAGCTTCCGCTGCTAAGCAACCATCTTCTCTCTCTTCGTCTCCCCCTCCTTCTCCCATCACTGGGTATTGGACACCAAGAGGCAGGGACTGAACCCCGAGAGTGAAGGCGATTCACCGAAACCACAAGTGTTATCACGTATCTAATGTCCATTGACCCACCTTCAAATTGGGTAGGAGATATGAGGCCACCGGAACCAAACCCCGATTCCGATGACTTTACTCCAGGGGGAACGAACGAATGAGAGATAGGAAGCTCCGACCGGGCCCAGGAAACCCACCTCTTCTTCACCGGGATGAGAGGCGCATCAGACTCTGCATCTTCATCTCTATCCGTTTCCCGCCCTATCGAGTGGATCAACTGCTTTAGCAGCTAGGCCCTTCACTGCAGAGCATCCAATTCCCAACTAATCTATTCCGAACGGAAGCGATCGATCGAATGGAGCTAGCTTACAAGAGAAGGCCCGATAAGCTTCGAAGTTCTACTGGCCAATCCAATGAGGGATTTTATTCATAGTTTGGAAGGTTTCACCTTCTCTATCGGGGCGCCTTCCGCCTCTCTTTCCCCCGTTACTGAGGCCGCTACAGATGCTCCTAGCAGGGTGATTCCTCCCATTGGGAAGAGAAGACAGGAGCACCCGGTCCTGTTTTTGGAGGTTCAACGGTCAGCTTCGGTCGGGATAGATGAGTTGGGGTCGAGTTCCTTAGATACTACATAAGAAATTTTTTCGGATGGGAAGGTGTATAAAAAAAGGTAAAAGCGCTTATGGGGCATCCCACCTCCCGAGAAGGTTGAAGGGATAGAGGAGCTTTTTAGCCCTTTTGAGGAATTGGTTGGAAAAGCGCTACCACCCGAAATCCTATGTCCAAGCGCTTCAGAGGTCAAGGGAGTTCGATCCGGCTACAACTCTCCTCCTTCCACGCACGGACAAGGATCGGTTGTTGAAACAAATTCATCTAGAAACAAATAAGTTCTTGTTTGATCCGCCGCTGTTGTAACACCACAATATTCGTCCTTTTCCTTTTGAGGTTAATCCTCTCAATGGTGAATCGAGCACTCGAAAAATTTCTTCGACGGAATGGAAGAAAGGTAAGGAAACCCGCGATGGCTACTGAATACCCGCCCTTTACTTTCTTAATAAAAAAGCCCCTTACCTTTGTATTCGTTCGCCAAATCTTGTTCAGTTCCATCCAAGCTCGGTTTTGTCTGAATCTTCGCGGAAGAAGAAGAAGCGGTTCACCAGCCACTACATCTGTGGATCCCACCAAATTTTTAAACCTGGCGGCTGCTCGCTCTTTGATCAGTGATTCACCGGCCACTACATCGATGAAGAATCTCTCCAAAATCTGCTCTTTGATCAGTGATTCACCGGCCACTACATCGATGAAGAATCTCTCCAAAATCTGCTCTTTGATCAGTGATTCACCGGCCACTACATCCAGGGATCCCACCTTATTCTCAAACCTGGCGGCTCGGTTGATTGGCACTCCTGTAGGCTCATCTTGCATACAAATTCTGGGGGGCCCCGGGCCTGCATCCCCCCAGAACATTTCTTCCCTTAAGCGTAAAACTTCAGATTGTAAGGCATTTCCACTACATAAGAAAAAACTTGAATTAGATCTTGGAAATGATCGACTCAAATAGATGCTCATCATAAGCTTTCTATTAAGATTCACTTGTAGTTCCGCTTCTTGCTCTAACAGAAAGACTTTTCGGAAATCTGGTTGGTCCAACCAAGAAAGGCATGGGAGTCTTTGGGCGTATTTCATACGCAATTTCTTTTTTCTTTTTCTATACAGTAATGCAACGATCAAATCTTAATAATATGTTGTGACCCGTTTTTCTTTTCTTTGCTGATTCCTCTCAATGAAATTTGCCATGTTGCACTAAGTTACTTACGGAATCTCAAATATCTCTCGACGCCGAGAATTTTTTATGTGTCCAGGTCGATCAGAGGTTCGGCTTGCTTCTCCCCTACCCTTTAGCGTTCTGGGCCCCTGAAAAAATAAAGAAACCCGAAATAAAAAAGAAAGAAGAGAAATTGGGCCATGTTTCCCGGGAGAGGCCGCCTTCTCTCAGGCCAGCAGTCTTCTACTTCTAGTCGACTGCTCTATGACGGGCTTCCCTGTTTCCTGGGCTCTACTCGCTCGTCTACGCTCCGACCCAGCAAGTAATAATTGAAAAATGATGTTTCCAGCCTGCATTAAGATTTAAAACTTGTCGTCACAAAAAGGCAATCAATAATCAGAATCAAGAAAAAAAAATGGAAATAGTGAATCAAGATCTAGATGGATCCCTATCTTTATCTCTACCCACGGAGATACCTATCTATATGGATAGAAATCTATCTATGAATCGATCTAGACTATCCTCTATCCGGATAGATATGTCCCTATGAGCGACTACGCCGATCTTTATATGTTTTGGCCACGTCCGTTTCCGCTCCGAAGAGGAAGGTTTAGATCTTTCAATCTTATGTCGTGAGGGATGTGACCTATGTTAGGTCCATAAGATACCACAGCTTTTGGTGTTCTATGATTCACCTCCGAATAATGAGTAGGTAGTTCAATCCTTTTGATTCTTCTCTTCATAGTAAACTGATGGGGGGATGCGGAGCAATAGGTCGAATTTCTATATAAAGAAGAGTTGTAAACTATAGGACTTCTTGTTCGAGTAGGAAGATTTCGGTTTTTCTCGTTCCTTCTCTTCGATAAGAATAGGGATTTGAAATGATACAAATTCCTCTTCATTCTGTTGTGCTCAGCGAAGGAACTGCCTAAGCATACTTTTTCGGATCCAAACTTCTTTGTTCTTTCTAAGTCTTCTTCTTGCATAGAAGAGCGCAACTGTTGCAAAAACCGGGATTTTAGTAGTAGGCGGCATCCCCTCTGAGTTTTGAGTAGGTGGAACCATTCTGTTTTTGTTCTTCTCCACATTCTTACCGGGTGATCCAGGAATTTGCCTATGATTTTTTCAACTGATATTTCGATATAGAAAGATCTCCTTATTTCTTCACCGCGGATTCTCGCGTCATTTTCTTGAAAAGATATTAAATCACCGTGGGACACTTTAAAATGAGTAATGCTTACCATTCCATTATTCACACAAACCCTTCGATGACTTATCGGCTGCCTTGCTTGAGGAATAGTTTCACAAAAATGGAGACGAACCAGAATAACGTCCGATCTTGTTTCTGGATTGAGTGGAAAAGGGATATATGAAGTTCGCTCTGTTCCTCTGTGCATCTCTGTGATGGGTAAATCCCCATGAAAAAGGGGCAACTTTCGTGTAGTTTGTGATTGGATGTAACTGTTAAGATTTTTTCTCGGATAAATCTTTCTCTTAATAGATCTCTTCTTGTTCCTCAATCTTCGGAGAATGCGGCGTTGTATTATTGTAAGTTCTCTGTTCCGAACATTTCCTGAAAGTAGACGACAAGTTTTAAATCTTAATGCAGGCAAGGCATATCTCGTTGAATCAGTCTTTTTCGCCACATCGGGGCTATGGGAGTCGAACCCAATTCTTCCACGACCCCCCGGAGCAAAAATAAGGCTATAATAAAAGACTTTTGAAAGGAACTTCGCGTCACTCCACTCCGTCTAGCCAAAGGAAATACCTTCATTCAGCTCCGAGCGAGAAAACGATTGGCTTGAAAACTGCAAGAGAAATTTTTCTGAGTCAGAATGGTATTAAACGAATATGACAAGAAGATCGATCCCGTATGGAGCCACCGTCACAGTATGTCAAGCAACCTACCTTCCAAAATTTAAGGTTTTGCGGGCAAGCGCTTCAGGATCTTAATTACGGAGTTTCTGCTGCCCAGCAGACTTTCCTGTGCAACACCATAAGCCGTCTCGTGGGCACCGTTTTCTTTTCTTCAAGTCCGGAGACTCGAGCTTTGATAGGAAGTGGACAAAGTCCACCTAGGCCGCCTAGGCTCGTTGGAGTGAGCAACTCTCCAGATATATTTTCAACTGCCATATCAAAACGGTGCGCTTTCTATGCTTATATACATACGATTTTTGAATCCGGGTTGGTGAAGGGAACAAGTACTTCCCGCCAGGAGAAGTAGAGTGAACGGCACTCCGGTCAGGAAGGTTTTCACCCCTAAAGGGAGAAGCACGAGGGAACAGTCCAGTCTGTCCTTCCCTTGCTTGAACTGGACCAAAGACCTCGAGAACGCCTGCCGCGAGAATTCACAGGTTCGTTCACTTACCAGCACTAGTTCGTACCTTACCTTAGAAAGCAAGCAGCCGCGACCTCCGGTCTGCAAGCACCTCCGGTCTCCAGGCTTAAGGCAACAGGGGGACAAGCTTGAAAGCCATACTTGCATTGGATTGATTTCTTTTTCCGTTTATACGCCAATAAGAGAGTCCTTTTTCGAGGGTCTCACGACCCCCTCGACCCTGCGGCTCAAAAGAAAGCATTTTCTCGAGACAGAGATATGACCTCCCTACCAGAGTTTTAACTCCAGTTTAGTTTGGACTAAACTAATAAGGATGCCCATATATACGAAATTCTAAATACAGGGGGCCTCTGGCCTTCCTATGTTTCCAACAACAACTGGCAAAAGAATGATTTGAAAAAGAGGAAATGGGAAAGGCTTCGCTGATGTACTGACCAAACAAAGATAGATTTTTCCAGTACGTGCCAATATAACTCTTATTTCTTACTTTACTCTTCTCGTTCTACGCTCGGGATCCTTCCCTCCCTAGGTACTCAAATAAGAATGGAAATTTTTCTGTAAATCCCCATTCAAATCATCATCCTCTACTTTTTTTCAATTTCTTCTATAGGCGTGAAATAAAGTATATTCTCGGGGGTTCCTCTCTATATGAAAGCGCGAAAACATGCCTTCTTGGCTCAGAAAGAGGGCATATCATATAATCAAAGTTATCCCAGCTCGACTCGGATATCGAATAAAAGTGGATTTTTGTGTAACCAGCTCCGGGAATCCATAGATGGATTTTGAAGAGTAAAATGTAATCGAATGAATCGATGCCGCCCATGCCAATGATAGAGTACGACATATGAGCTCAGACCCTTATGTGAACTTACCTGCCCTAGCCTCCACGCACGTGCCGATGTCCGCCCCGCTCCTCTATTTTCTTTCTGGCATATTCCACTAATTCCTTATTTTAAGTAAGGTATCATTCCCCTATGAAATAACACATTTTTTCGCACGTGGATCTACCTCTCGCCTGAGATCTATGATATTTATTGCTTTAACACGTCCTCTTACTAAAGAAATCCGACCGACGATACAGACAGATGTGAGATGCTCGATAGAGGTCCCCTATATTGGAGAGTGGGAGGGGAAGTCTCTTTTTACATAACATAAAGGATGGGAATGAAGGACGGACGCCCATGCATCCCGAGCAGAGAGCTAACCGGATGTATTTGAATAAAAGAACGAACTCAACCGAAGAACTACAATTGAAACAAGACCAGGATTTAAAAGAAGAGCAAGAAAAAACAAGATTTATCTCAAAAAATGAAATGGGAACCAACAACAACAAAAAGCGAAACGAAACAAAGATAGAAATCTTGAAAGCGAAAAAGGGTAACGTAGCTGATTTGCTGATATGCTTGTTCTAAGAATGCATTACTATCTTTGATTTTTTCGATGGATTCTGGATTCTGGGCTAGGTACCTAAGTTAGTAACTAGCATAGGGGGGGCCTAACACAAAGAGTATTAAACCTTAATAAAAGCATAAGTCCCCCCCGAAACCCCATGCTCCTTCGGTACGTTCTTTATTTCGTTCTTTCATGTGCGGAATACACATTTTCCTTATACCATCGCTCGAAGGGCGGATCCGCGGAGCTACTATAACTATAAGATATAAGAAGTAGAAAAAAAGCCTACTTGGAGCATGTTCATCTTCCTCTCGTACGTTCATGATATTGCTTTCGCATGGCTCTTAAAGGCTCGACTAAATGAACTCTAATGGACTTAGCTTGCTCGTGTAACAATTTCATACCGTCTTGCTACCTTGACTTCAGACTTTTAATATATACCTTTGTCCTATTCTTTTATCGTAAACTTGGCTATTGCCATATACCTCCTCCTTCGGGTAGTAGAATATGAAGTTCTATGAATTCCTCCTTATGGTATCGTATTCCCCCATTCACGCCTCTGTTATATGTTCTAATGGAATTTCCTTTCGTAGGCTCAAAAAGTGGTCATTCTTCAGATCTTTGTTGATTGGCCGGCCGATATGGGATAACCTATTTGAAACAAAGAGATTTGTGTAACGGCTTGGTGTACCGAACTTGGCTTATAAATTTTCGTATTATACTGCATCTGCATCTTCATAAAGAGCAAGAACGGCATCCGCCAGCCGAACAAGTAAGGGATTCCTCGCCCGGTGTGCCGGCTTGGCTCCAGCTTTGGCTTCTTGATTGGCTATTGCCAGAGAAGACATATATGTTATACCAACAGACGGAGCAGACATGGCAAGATACAACATATTAAAGAATGAGCCAAAACCGAACAAGCAAGGCCAAAGCCAAATGCCGACCTAAGAAGGGACGCTTGCGGGAGACTTTCGAGTTTCCCGACAGGTCGATGTACAACCGAAAGGTGAATGCTTTACCAAACTCGTGTACAACTCCTTTCCTGTGTATTGATTTCCGCTTATTACATGCTTGGTTTCCTAAATTCTTTCTCCACAGCACCCCCTGACCAAAGAAACAAAAAACCAGAAAGCCAAGATCTCTATAAAGCGAGGGAAAGAATACAGATGTACAGCAGAGAAGGAAGAAAGACGAATGCTATGAGAGCTTAGACGGAATAAGGTCTAGGGGAGACCGCCCATTTATCACATGGGAGGAGAAGACTAGTCAAACATTCGAGCTGTAAACTCGCAATATAGACTTGAAAAAAAGAAAGATATTGAGACGGAATATGAATGAAGGATTGAAGCATCTGACCGGGCTCCGGAGATGAATACCGAAAGAGCTTACCGGATGCACCATCGACCTCAGACAGCTCGACCGGGCGGGGGAAGAACTAAAAAGAAAAAAACGTAGTCGGTGAGCAAAAAGCAAATACCAATGAAGACCAGACCTGGAATTTCAAACAAGAAAACGTAGTAGCGGGAGGGAGATTCTCCAGCTCCACTCCTTGTTATATATATAGTAGAAAATAGAGTGGAAAACTACGCTTCAAAATCAAGCCCAAAAAACGATCCGGTCCTATCTTGACCCATTCAAGCCATGAAAGTGACCTTTTGGATTAGAAAACATGGCCTCTGGTACTCTTTCCTGGGTTGATCGAAGAGCTGCTAACAAAAAGGCGAAGGCAGGATTCACAATAAAATAACCGTGGACGGATTGAGCCAATGTTTTCAAAAATTCCAATACCATAAGCGGATTCCACATCTATTTTTTATAGATTTTGCACCTTCAAAAGAGATCTCGAAGGGAAGGTATATTGAATTACAGAAATCGATTCACGTGTACTTCTTGCTGCTACAAGGCAAGAAAGATAGAGGAACTAATTCAAGAAAGTCATTTGTGGACGGGAAGAGTACGACATATTCCAGGGACCGATCTATCTCATTAAAGGATTTTGTGGACAGGGCACAGACCTCAGACCGATCGATTAAACCAATTATTGTAGAGTTTCCGGGGGAAAGTCATTCATGTGTGCCGATTTCCTTATGGTTGACTTAACAATTGGGATACTGGTTTCACCGTACTTATAATCCATCTTTCATTATATGCTAATTTCAGTCTATTAGTTCATAGCGAAGCTCAGCTGGGCTGGAGGGACACATACACTGTATGTAGGGCTTATACACACCTTTAGTAGTTCCCTCCAAAACCCCTGTCTTCTGCCTACCAATGGGAGAGAGAGCTTGTTGGACGGATAGAGTGAATGCGGGAATGGCATAGAGGAATGGGATACTACTCAAAAAAAGTAAGAAACGCGGGAGCCTGTGGTTGATATAAGAAGTACTTACTATCTTTCCCAAACCCCCCCCCCTGTTCTGCCTACCGACCTTAACTTCTCTTTCTAGCCCCTCTACGCTTATCAACGCCTGCATTCCTTTGATTGCTTGTTGTACTCCTTCTACCATATTCCTCTGTCTTTGCATCTCAGTCCCGGATCGACTATAAGTCTTCTTTGCTATAGCTTGAATCCGTGATCGACCTAAAATATATTATAAAAAGTCTTTTGTTTGCTGGCTTGAGTCCGCGTGATTTATTTCTCTTATTATAAGCGCCGAATCCCTAACTCTCTTCTTGTTGCTAGCAAATGGGAAAAGACTACTTCTTGGACTGTGGCCGACACCAGAGAAGACTAATTAGAGATTTGCTAAGCGAACGAGCCCTAGCTTGATCTAAGTCTTATACATTAATTAAGCAGCCTGACTTATATGCTCCTCTTACCTTGCTTTATTACACCGTGCAGATGAAGCGAAGGACATCTATTATCTATAACAAAAATTCCTTACTCTAACAAGTAAGCAAGTAAACTGCCTTGAGAGAAGACCGATTTCTACACAAACCCTAGCTGCGTTGGGGCGTGAGACAAGCTTCGTAGGACCGGTCAGGCCAATTCCGAAAAAAGAGACGATAGAAAAGAGGCGAAACTCAAAGAAGAAGACAATAGGCAGATGGGGTCGCGAGACCCAAATAGGCGCATGCATTGGATCACCATTGCGGAGACGGAAATCATGGCTCCAGCGGAAAACCCTAAGCATCAATCCCTCAATCAAAAACTTCTCTTTTTTGGTGCATATCTTCTTTGTTCGAGAGCTTGATGAAGACGTGCCTTGGATCTAACAGAGTGATCGAAAGATCCCCCCTCTTTCGAGCGGTTAGCCGTCCCGTCCAGGTTTTCCTCTCTTGATCTACAAGCTGCTTTGCGATAACTCTCTTATGTTCTTTCTCAACTTCATGCATTAAATTAAAGGTTAAACTATCTTGTGCTAATTCTAGTTACCAATGGTTCATCCGAAGCGATAGCTAAGAGGAATAAAGAAGCTGTGCTGAAGACAGAGTCTTGAGAATAGAGTTCCGAAGCGAGGCGAAGCAGAAGAGAGAGGTGAAACCAACACCCTTTGAACAGATGGAAGTCAACCCGAAGGCAAATATTAAATAACAGAACTTCCAGGTGATCAAAGTAGATTGGTTTTTTCATTCACTTAGATGGTGCATCTCATATGATGGCTCTTCCCTTGGCTGAGACTGACTCTCGGAAGTTACAGAATGGAATGATGGATGAACTTTACCCCTACATAACATAGATCATGAATCACATGTTTCCCATTTTCCTGACCTACATGAACAGAGAACAAGCACACCTTTCTCATCCTTTATACTAATGTGATATATGATCTTGGCTTTTATTTTAGAG